TCCTTCTTTCTTTCTTTCATTCATTTTCCAGGAAATTAAACGTCTGTATGCCTTTCTTCTTTCCACACGATCAAAACGGAATAATCCATTATTTATGACTAGGTATTGGAAGGTTTTCAATGGTCGTGCGAACGAATGAAAAAAGGAAAAAGTTATAAAGCTCTGCTATAGAGAATGATTGTAATAATAATAATAGAAATTATTATTCATTATTAACTATTATAGAGGTATTAAACATTAACCAGCAGTGAATAAACAAATAAAAATACAACAGGAAAGAAAAAATTTTATTAATAAATTTATTTAAAGGAAAATGAACTAATAAAAAGAAAAAAAATTCCAATTTTTTCTAAGAAGGAATTAAAACAAACGTTAAAAAAAAAGAAAGAAAAGAAATGCGTTAAAGAAACGAAAGAAGGAAAGAAAGAAATAAAAAGAAATAAACGTATTTGAGAAAAATAGAAAAGAAAGAAACAAAGAGAAAGAAAGAAAGAAATGTATTTGAAAAAGAAATAAGAACGAACGAAAGAAAAAATGAAAAAAAAGAAAATTAATAATTGAGAAAAAATAAGTTCATGTTTCAAAAGAAGAGGGAAGAAAAAATGTATTTGAGAAAATCTAGGTGACGAAACGATTGTTCTTTTTTTAAGTTTGAAGGTCCTCCTTTCAAAAAACCGAAAGAAAGAAAATCGAAAAGAAAGAAACCCGGGTTTTTTTTCAGAAATTAAGAACGAAAGAAATAAAGAAATAAAGAAAGAGAATGAAATAAATGTATTTAAGAAAAAAAAAAAAAAAAAGTAATTGTGTTTTATTAGAGAAAAATACAAAAGAACGAAATTTAAATATTGAATGAAAATTTTATCATTTTAAAAAAAACGACTGCAAGAAAGAGAAAGAAAATTTTTGATTTCAAGAAGAACGAAAAGCCTGGGTTTTGCAAAAAAAAAACATTGAAAGAATCGTTTGAGAAAAAAAGAAAGTTTCTAAATGTACTGCCATTTATAAAATGTTCTAGTGCTTGAAAACAAAGGTTAAATCTGAATGAAATGAATCTATTTGAGAAAAAAAAGATATAGAAGAAAGCATGAAATCCTAACGACTTTATTTTTAGAAAAATATTTTGCATGAAAGAAAGAATTGGAAAGCTAAAAAATAACCCTATTTCTGTTTACGAACAAGGGACAAAACAAAATATTTCGTCTAAAAATGCCGAAAGTTATGGTCCTTCTATATTCCATTTGATTATAATGGACAAAACTTTTCTAAAAAGAAAAAATTTTGGTGTTGAAAAAATCCAAAGATTTTGTAGATGAAAGAAAAATTTTAAGTTTTCTAAAAAAAAAAGATCACCTCTAACAATGCAATTTAAAAATGAAATATATAAGTCATTCTTAATTAAAAATGCAGCAGATGATGGCAGTTGTGTTCTGTTTTTTTATGAAAAAAAAAGGACCCAAATTTCTTTCTTGAAAGTTTTCCCAATTAAACTCTGAAATGCACTTTAAACGATACACTTTGAAAGATTAAAAAAACATGTAATTTCCTAATCTTTCAAATACGTTTTTGTTGGTTGATTCAAAATTCAAAAATGACAATTACATTAATACTTTCAAATTAAAAATAAAAGGTGAGATATTGAAAGTATTAAAAAAAAAATTTTTGAAAATCACAAAAAAACAAATAAATTTTGAAATATTTTCACTATTTGAGATGAGGATTCTCATTCCATCTGACAGAAAAAGAAATCGGAAAAAAAAGAAAGACACAAAGAAAGAAAGAAAAAATAGCCAATTCTCCGTCCTCTGAAAGAAAACATTCGCGAAAGAAGAAAACCAAAACGGTACTATAAGATTAATTTTATTTATAAAAGAAATTAGAATTTCATTAATGTCCAAAAAAGAACACCCCAAACAAACAAGAAAGTTAAAAGAAAGGGAAACCTCGGTAAAGAAAGTAATGAAAAGAAAGGAGGAATCTTGCTAAGAAAATTAATTTTCGAGTAGTGAGTTCAAAAAAGAAAATGCGTTACCCAAAAGGAACAGAAAAAAAAACATCTAAACAACGCTTAGCAAAATCAAGCCATGTTAACTAAACTGAAAATTTGAAGAAAAAGTTTTATCAAATGAAGGAACAACGTATAAAAAGATAAAATATGATTAGATGATACAAAGGTCAAAAAGTTTTGCCATTAAAATATAATATAATTTTCTATTTCAGATGGCTTTCCGAGTCCTCCTGATTTTCGAAGAGAGGGTTAAATAACAAAAGGTCAGACTACCCTCCTCAGTCTGATGAAACACAGACAATATAATGTATGTTAGAGAGAGAGAATGCTTTTAGACAATAGCGTCATCCTGTTTGAGAAAAGATTTATCAGTAAACATTGAACTCAATCTGTTACTGGCATTTGTCACTCATTCTCGATACTCAGAGAGGTTGTGGTTCTAAATGACTGAATTGTTTTCCAGATGATCTCGTACAATCCTGTCCGTTGCGTCCCTGATGAAAGGTTATTGTTTCTCCTTATTTTGAATAAAAAAAAAGTAAGTTTCTGATTCCCATGGATGTTACAATTATAAAATGATGAAATGGAAGTAAAATGACTGAAATGAAATATCATCTGCATATATATAAAACATATTGCAATAATTACATTCACTACAATGGAAAACTATATACTTTCTCAAGAGAAGAAAGGGATTCACAAGATGAATATATAATTTTAAATACACAACACATTTATAAATATATATATATAAAAATAGATATATATATATATATATATATATATATATATATTTTTTTGTGTGTATATATATATATATATATATATATTGAGAAAGTATATATATATATATTGTGTTTTTGTTATAATTGGTATATAAGACCAATGAATTCCAATAAAAAAAAATTAAAAGATTCTTAAAAGAAAGAAATATATATAAATGTATTGTCAAATGATATAATTATTATTTATAAAAATGTCGAACATAAGTTCATGCTATAAAATCACTTGAATAAAAATATATATTTTTTTTTTCTCAATAATTTTGAAGGTTTTAAACTTATAGTGATTAAATTTGGATTTTAAAATTGCCAGTTTTTAATTTTAATATTAAATTTTATCATATAATTTTATAAATATTGGTTAGTATAAATTATTTTTAATATAACACGTATTTTAAAGATCTGAATAGCTATTATAATATGATTTCGTTGTCAAGCTTTTTAAATCTTTCTATACTTGTTTTTGATTGGTTATTCTAGCTTTTGTAACAATGTTTCCCCCTAGTGTAGGATCGTTAATTAATCTGAAACTTTTAAAACCATTTATTTTATTTTCAACATCATCACTTGATAAGACACAGAGTGTGTTGAAACAAAATGGCTATTTTTGTAGTGATTTTATAACATACATATGTTATAATTTTTTTAAAAAAAAATTATATATATAGTAATATTTGTTTAAAACATACCCTGACCTGAATAGTAGTAGTATTATTATTGTTAGTAGTAGTAGTAGTAGTAGTAGTAATAATAATAATAATAATAATAAATTGTCTGTGTGAAATAGAACAATGTGGAGATGATAAAGTAGACCAAAATTCAAAAAGAAAGTGATGCAGGCGCCACGGCAAGAACATGAGAAATAGAGAAAAACGGAAGAAAACGTCGAAGCCTATTAAGTCAAAAGAAGAAATAAAAGTTAAAGAAAGAAGAAATGATGTAAAAAAAAATGAGGAAAAGCAAAGAGAAACTTCAAGTAAATATTCAAAGAATAAGGAAAAGCTATTTGGATCAGGGGCTAACCAGACAGGAACAGGGTAGGGTTCGAGCCATTAAACAACGTTGAAGGTGTTTAAATAGGCCCCTATTATCCGTGGGAATAGCCACTCGTGCCAGACGCCACCTGGGGCTATCACTGATGAAGACAGCATTTGGTTGTTGTTGTTGTTGTTGTTAGATATCAATGCGGAAGAGTCAAATTGTGCGCTACGATGCTCGTTTCAGCAAACCTTCTTTAACATCCTCGCGAGAATCTCGCAGCCTCCGGCTCAAAGTGAGACCCTCGTCGTCCCTCCCCGACCATGCAGCCTGTGCCCACTTCCCTGCCTCGTCCTTGTGCTCCTGATAGAGCATTCCCAGCTTGAATCACCGGTTTCCCGCCATTTCTATCAGTAAACATCCAGTAACTATCGCTCTATTTTTCATCTCTTTCATATTCAGTCAACACGCTTGTCCTTCTTGAACTCGGCTATTGCCTCTCCCCAGCTCTCTGAAGTCTCGCAACCACTTGCCAGCAAATAGCAATGTGCAACTAATTTAAACTCCTGTAGAACCAGCGGCGAATATTAAACCGTACTTTCGTATTTCTATATTTAGACTCGATTAAATTGAATAAAGGGTGCTTAATATATGTACATAAGAGTAAGTATTAAAAAAAAAAAAGAAAGAAAGAAAGATGAAAGCTTAATAAAGAGAGAGGAAAGGAAAGAAAAGAAAGAAAGGAGACAAGAATAGAAAAAAAAGGAAAATAAACAATGAAAAGAGAAGGAAGGTGAAAGAATAATAACAAAAGAAAGAAAAACGAATAAATCAAGATAAAGAATGAAAATTTTAAAATAAGGAATGAAAATTGAAGAAAATAAAGAAGGAAAAAAAGAAGAAAATTAATAATGAACGAAGAATAAGAAAAAGGATAAAGTAAAGAAGGCGAAGGAAAGAAAAATTAAAAAATAAGAAGAAAAAGAAAGAAAAAAAAGAATAAGAAGAGTTTGATTTATTCGTTTTCTACGGATTAACAACCCTTTTCAGGTTAAAAATATTAAATAAATATTAATTAAATGTTAATAATTATTACTATTAATTAAGTAAATATTTTTTTTTAAAATATTAAATAAAATGCAACGCGAAGAAAAACAGTGGCAGCGAGAACAGAAGAAAGTAAAAGGAGACACAAAGAAAAACGAGGTCAGAGGAAAAAGAATGTACTGTAAAAGTCAGCAGATAGAAAACCTAGGATATAGAAAAAGGAATGCAATGTAAAAGGCGACAAAAAGAAAAAAACTGACACAGCGAGAAAGAAACGAACGTAAGATAAAAGACGACATAAAGTAAAAAGGATGCAAGAAAAAACGGGACAGTGAAACTAGAGTACAAGGTAAAAGGCAACACAAAGAAAAACTGGGATAGCGAGAAAGAAACGAATGTAAGATAAAAGGTGACAGAAAGAAAGGAAATGATGCAACGACATTAGAGAACGTAAAATAAAAGACGACAAGAGGAAAAACTGGGACAGTGAAACTAGAGTGCAAGGTTAAAGGCGACACAAAGAAAAACTGAGACAGCGAGAAAAAAACGAATGTAAGATAAAAGGTGACAGAAAGAAAGGAAATGATGCAACGACAATAGAGAACGTAAAATAAAAGACGACACAAGGAAAAACTGGGACAGTGAAACTAGAGTGCAATGTGAAAGGCGACACAGAGTAAAAATGAGACAGCAAGAAAGAAACGAATGTAAGATAAAAGGTGACGCAAAGAAAGAAAATTATACAAGGAAAATAGAGAACGTAAGATAAAAGACGACACAAGGATGGGACAGAGAAACTAGAGTGCAAGGTTAAAGGCGACACAAAGAACAACTTAGACAGCGAGAAAGAAACGAATGTAAAATAAAAGGTGACACAAAGAAAGAAAATGATGCAACGACAATAGAGAACGTAAAATAAAAGACGACACAAGGAAAAACTGGGACAGAGAAACTAGAGTGCAAGGTTAAAGGTAATATATAAAAAAAAAAAGAAAACATTTTAAATTTCTTAAAAAATATAAAGGTAAAGAATGAAGTAATCTAATAAAAAAGAATTTTTGGAGTAGTGATAGTTAAAAGAACAGGTTGATAAGGAGAAGGCAAAATGAAACGAAATTTTTAATTATTAATTATATAAAATTATATATATATATATATATATATATATATATATCGCGAGTGTGTGTGTGTGTGTGTGTGTGTCCATCGATGTGGCAAATTAATTTTATAATTATATATAATGAATTATATAAAATTATATATATAAAAGTATGAATTAATTATATAATATTATATATAGGTATATATATATATATATATATAAATATGAATTAATTTTATAAAATTTATATAATGGATACCATCTATACATATATATATATATATATATATATATATATATATATATTCTTAAATTTTCGAGAACCATGAGTGAATAAATGAATTCAATTTAATTTTAATAATTTTATTGAGGGTTTCGGCTCTCATATTTGAAACATGAGAACTCTTATGTAGCGAAAGAATCATATTCTTATAAAAAAAATAATTATAATTTAAGTTATGCTTCTGTATGGAGCACCGTTTCTTTGTTTTAAAAAAAATTTGCGATAGAAATAATCTGTAAAAAAGTTATATAGTTTAATGTACCTAGTTTTATGTATATCTAAAATAACTAATGTGATTTCAGGCATTACTGTAAATCAGTTGGCAAATGTTTTCCATGAGCTGCAAAATCGTATTACCGTTTGTACTGCTAATGATGGAGAGCATGTGGAAACTTAAATAGAATTTGAATAAAAGCTTAAAAATATATAAATTTAATTCTTACTAATT